TAATAGATGTAAATAACATTAAATCTGAATGCAGATTTCTTAAAACACTCTAAAATACCAGTAATCTGTCTGTACTGAAATACAACAGGACCGGTCTGGCCTTTTTTACCGTATAAAGGTAAGCGCACTTAGAACTTTGTACCGATCCGGGGTGAAAAAAATAAACACCTCATCGTGTCAGTTTTTTTTTGGTATACAGAATCCTTAGTTGTTTTCTTTTCTTCGTGCTTAAAAACGTTTTCCTTTTTTAGCCTGTGAATGTCCATGTCCGCAAACAGTGGAAAAAGATGTAGACTATTCGGGAAGGGCCTTTGTCAGTTGGGTAGAACCTAAACCGAATTGCCCAACCATACAAAGTTCAGGTAATCCGATCACAACCAGTGGATATTTTGGTGTTGGAAATAACACACAGAACTACAGCTACACGTACAGCAACGAGATTCAATCATTTGTTATTGAATGCCATGTAACAATTGTGGTAGTAACTAAAGGTAGGTTAATAGCATTTCAACTAACATAGTAACGCTACTGTATTTATTATACTTTGAGCTGGTTAATCTGGGGTATAGAAATAATAGACAATAATATCTATTATTTCTATGGTCGGGGGCTTCATCAGTTAATTAATTAACTGGTTAAAATTGGTGGAGTGCGATTTGGTGTGAAATCAAACGCCGGATTACAAAATCGCACGACCGCGAAGCGGGAGTGTGACTTGTAGTCACAAGTGTGATTTGTAATCAAAAGTAGTTGGGTAATTACTATTCTTAACTAATATCTAATATCTACTATATAGGATCATTGTCATACATCTCCCCCCCACCCCCCTCCCCCCAATCAATGTTGGTTACACGTTTGCGAACAAAATGTCCGTCTATTTGGGACACAACATCGCGCGCAGGGGATCTGGGCTCGTGTTTTAAATCGGAATATTGGTTACCCATCCCAACCTTTTGCACATGATTAAAGGTCACACGGCAGATTACATAAAAACAATGACGTAATGACATATGAACAATATCAAACAATATATCACGTAATAAACATTTGCCAGCAAAAGTGCAAGAGGTCCGCATTTGGACACTTTACACCTGAGATGGATATCTATCCACCTTCCCTTTATGCCAGGGTGTAATTCCTATAATCTTCAAGAATAATTTTACAAAAATTTATTAATATGATTGGAAGTTAGAGCTGTACTAGAAATACATGCATGCAAAATCCCCTCGCCTGAAGTAATAAACCTATATTTCGATTAGCGAAATTCTATGATACTCGTTTCTGCTGAATGGTCGAAGTCGTATGAGTAAAATTCTATATCAAGTACAATTAGAAAGTCGACTATCAAGCTATCACATTCAACTATAATCGTAATTCATTAATTGTGCTACGAATAGTTTTAAATACTACAATTTTTAGCGAAATCTCAATTCCTTTTTAAACAGATTCACCTTTAAAAATAAATGCTTTCCCAATCAAAATCATTTTAACGAAACGGACGAATAAATTCAAGGAGGATTCGTACATTTTTTGATAAATCTACAAGTTAAACTTACGAAATACTTGCATGCTTTAAAATACAAAAATCCACCTATTTACCTGTTCAAAAACACTCCAAAAAATGCTTTAAAATCGTAGATATTTCACCATCTATTTGAATCTAAGTTTTTCGATCCGAAAGCATCATTTACTTTACATTTTAATCAATTTTACGATTGAATTTTTCCGTATATTTTCAAAACCATCCAAATGAAAAATATTTTTAAAAAAAAATAATTCAAAATATCAGTTATGCTGACGCTAACCAAAATTTTAATTGAGCCAATCGCACGCTTCCAAACGTTTGTTAGTTACCAGTTTTATCTCGTCTTAAACTTACGCATGCGCATAACTTACAAAAACGCCCAACGTCCATGACATAATGGCGGAAAACTTTCATTTCGCATTTGCATTCCCGGGCGTGACTAAAATCTCCGGGCGGAATTAGTACCCTCGCCCGGTGCTTCGCACCGGCTCGGGGATTAATTTAATCCGACTTACTCTGGAACCGCCACTGGTCGCTTATAATTTGGTTTTAATAATTTCCAGGTGTACCAATCCAGTTAAAAGGGCCTTCAAGTTCAAATGGTGTTGGTCGTGTGGAGATATTCTATAACGGAAAATGGGGAACAATCTGTGACGACGAATGGGATATCAAAGATGCTCAAGTTGTGTGTCGTCAACTTGGTTATCAGAAAGCCCTTACGGCCCTTCAGGGATATCTTGTTCCTTCTGGTTCAGGGCAGATTTGGTTAGACAATGTTCGTTGTTCTGGGAATGAGCAAAATTTGACCAGTTGTTCCCATAGAGGCTGGGTAGTCCATGACTGTCATCATTCTGAAGATGCTGGAGTCAACTGCTTTGGTAATTGGCATTTACATTTTGCAACCAAATCTTATCAATCAGCTTCCTTCAATTTTCAGCCTTGTACCCAGGCGCTTTAGTAGAAAAACATATAACGTTGAGTATATACAGCTACTATTTAAGTTCGTAATCACCGAGCCTGAGGCTAACTGGAAGCAGCAAAACAACTACAGATGTAGATTGTAAATTTTAACCAGGCATAAACATTTCCTAGTAATTTTTTTATGTTTATTGAAATATTCAGCAGTTTCGGTCTTTCGGATAAAAGTTGCGCACATTGGTACAAGTCTGGCAGGAATCTGATGGAATTTATATCATAAATCCGACACCTACCATTTCAAAACCCTTGAATTGTATATTTTTTATAATTATCGCTCAGTTTTATCCTATCTTTTCACACTTTATTTTGTATAAAGTTTTTAAAGCACTTTTACAAAAACGTTTGCGAAATTACAGCTAATTTTGTATTTTGCCATGCGATCAGAAAGTTGCTAATTACCAGTTTTTATTCGTTCAGATTTTGCGCGTACGTACAAATTCTAATGATCACGGCCCATTACATAGAACTTGGGCAACCTGTTGTATACCCGCGTCACAGAATACGTGGTATCAGAAATGTAACTTCGTGTCCTAAAATTTTCCCAAAATACAGGCGTCATACAGAAGCCATCATTCGTTGTCATTTTTCATTATTTCGCCGTTTAATTTTAGTAGTAATTTTTGTTTTTTAATTGATTAAAATAAATCAATTTATTTTGAAATGTGTTTTCATCTCCGTCAAAGCCAAAACATTAATGAAACTACAATCATTTTTAAAAGTAGTTGGGCAATTACTATTTTTAAACAAAATCTACTATATATGATCATTGCCATACAACTCCCCCACCCTCCTTCCCCAATCAATGATGGTTACACGTTTCCAAAAAAATGTCCGTCTTCTTGGGACACAAGATTAAAAAGGGGCGTGAGGGATCTCAGCTCGTGTTTTAAATTGGAAATTTGGTTACCTGCCCCAAGCCTTTAGAAAATGATTGTAGGCTACACGGCAGAGGTCATAAAAACAATGACGTAATGACAAATGAAGAATATCACACAATATATCACGTCATAAACATTTGCCAGCAAAACTGCAAGAGGTCTTCATTTGGACACTTTACACCTAAGATGGATATCTATCCAACTTCCATTTATGCCAGGGTGTAATTCCTATAATCTCCAAGAATAACTTTACAAAAATTTATTAATATGATTGGAAGTTAGAGCTGTATTAATTTAATCTGACTTACGCTGGAACCGCCACTGGTCGCTTACTAGTCCGTTGTCGTATATTCCAGGTGTATCAATCCAGTTAAAAGGGCCTTCAAGTTCAAATGGTGTTGGTCGTGTGGAGATATTCTATAACGGAACATGGGGAACAATCTGTGACGACGAATGGGATATCGAGGATGCTCAAGTTGTATGTCGTCAACTTGGTTATCAGAAAGGTTTTGCGGCTTTTCAGGGAAATCTTGTTCCTTCTGGTTCTGGGCAGATATGGTTAGACGATGTTCGCGTTGTTCTGGGAATGAGCAAAATCTGGCCAGTTGTTCCCTTAAAGACTGGGGAGTCCATGACTGTCATCATTCTGAAGATGCTGGAGTAAAATGCTTTGGTAATCGGCATTTACATTTTTGTAACCAAATCTTATCAATCAGCTTTCTTCAATCTTCAGCCTTGTACCGAAGTGCTTTAGTAGAAAAACATATAACGTTGCGTTGAGCTACTATTTAAGTTCGTAATCACCGAGCTTGAGGCTAACTGGAAACAGCAAAACAACTACAGCTGTAGATTGTAAATTTTAACCAGGCATAAACATTTCCTAGCAATTTTTTTATGTTTATTGTAATATTCAACAGTTTCACATAAAAGCTGCGCACATTGGTACAAGTCTGGCAGGAGATTTGATGGAATTTACATAATAAATCCGACACGTACCTTTTCAAAACCCTTGAATTGCGTATTTTTATAGTTATCGCTCAGTTTTATGCTATCTTTTCACATTTGATTTTGTATTAAGTTTTTAAAGTAATTTTAAAAAAACGTTTGCGAAATTAGAGTTCAGAAAGTTGGTAATTACCAGTTTTTATTTGTTCAGATTTTGCGTGTACGTACAAATTTTGATGACCACGGCCCATTATATAGAATTTGGGCAACCTGTTACATACCCGCGTCACAGAATACATAAATAGGGAGATTTAGCATGAGGACGTGAACGTCAAAGACGACGTGAAAATTGCGAGTAAATGACGTGGCATGTCCATATTTGGGCGCATCACGCCATTTATTTGCCATTTTCACGTCGTCTTTGACGTTCACGTCCTAATGCTAAATCGACCTATGATCAGAAATATAACTTCGTGTCCCAAAATTTTCCAAAATGCAGACGTCATACATTGTGTTTTCATCTCCGTTAATGCCAAAACATCAGTGAAATACAATCATTTTTAAAAGTAGTTGGGCAATTACTATTTTTAACTAAATTTTGTAATATAGGATCATTGCCATACAACCCCCCCCCCCTTCCCCAAATCAAAAATGGTTACCAGTTTGCGAACAAAATGTCCGTCTACTTAGGACACAACATTGAAAAGGGGGCGCGGATGATCTGGGTTTGTGTTGAAATCGGTAATTTGGTACCATGTCCCAAGCCTTTTGAAAATGATTGTAGGTCACACGGCAAAAGTCATAAAAACAATGACGTAATGACAAATCAGTGAAGAATATCACACAATATATCACGTAATAAACATTTGCCAGCAAAACTGCAAGAGGTCTGCCTTTGGACACTTTACACCTGACATGGATGTCTATCCATGTTTATGTAATTCCTATAATCTCCAAGAATAATTTTACAAAAGCCTATTATTATGATTGCAAGTTAGAGCTGTATTAATTTAATCTGACTTACGCTGGAACCGCCACTGGTCGCTTACTAGTCCGTTGTCATAATTTCCAGGGCTATCAATCCAGTTGAAAGGGCCTTCAAGTTCAAATGGTGTTGGTCGTGTGGAAATATTCTATAACGGAAAATGGGGAACAATCTGTGACGACGAATGGGATATCAAGGATGCTCAAGTTGTTTGTCGTCAACTTGGTTATGAACAAGCCCTTGCAGCCCTTTGGTTAGACGATGTTCCTTTTCGTTCAGGGCAGATATGATTAGACAATGTTCGTTGTTCTGGGAATGAGCAAAATCTGGCCAGTTGTTCCCATGGAGACTGGGGAGTCCACAACTGTGGTCATTTTGAGGGTGCTGGAGTGAAATGTGCTCGAAAAGGTAAATTATCTGACGCTTACAATTTCATATCATGATATCCAAAACATTTAGCAAAACACTCATCTTCGGTCATACTGAAGATGCTGGAGTGAAATGCTTTGGTAATTGGCATTTAGATTTCTGCAACCAAATCTTATCAATCAGCTTCCTTCAATCTTCAGCCTTGTACCCAGGCGCTTTAGTAGAAAAACATGTAACGTTGCGTTCAGCTACTATTTAACAAGGCATAAACATTTCCTAGTAAATTTTTTTATGTTTATTGTAATATTCAACAGTTTCAGTTAAAAGTTGCGCACATTGGTACAAGTCTGGTAGGAGATCTGATGGAATTTACATCATAAATCCGGATGGTAAGGGTTCTTTTCAGGACTGGTGTGATATGACAACCAATGAAGGAGGATGGACGGTGATTCAGAGAAGGAAAGATCCAAGTGTGGATTTTTATCGTGGTTGGTCAGAATATAAAACAGGATTTGGCACTCTCTCTGGGAATTTTTGGCTTGGTTTAGACAAAATAAATCGTTTAACAGAATCTGGTCAAAACACATCAAGAATTATACTAAAGTCTGGTGATGCGATAGCTTCTGTAAACTATTCGATGTTTTCTGTGAGTTCTGAATCTGAGGGTTATAAACTGAACGTTGGTGGATTTTCCACAGAGGGTAAATATACAGGTAGCTACTGTCCAGAAATAGGCCAATCTCAACTAGGCGGAATTTTTCGTCTGATATTCTTTTCAATTATGAAAATTCGACCGTAGCGGATTCCCTTCACCGGTCAAAATTAAAAAGAAAATCGAAGGAAAAATTTCGTTTCGAAAAATTCCGCCTAGTGGAAAACTGCCCTGACACTGCAGTTGCGGTTGCAATTCGGTCGCGGTCGACCGCAAATGAAAGGAATACGTTTATAGCTTCTGTTCGGTTCCTAACGAAATTTTAAGAACAGCTGAGATATTCGACAGCACAATAAACATATCGAAAAAATCTTAAGAAATGTCTGTCAGACCGAGTTAATATAAGCCAAGGTGTTAAACCTCCGTCTCACCACGGTTTGACCTTGGTTTGAGCTCGATTCAACCGCGATGAGACCGAGGTTTAACGTAGATTAACCTTGATTTGTTAGGTTACTTCTGGACAGTACTGTAGTCAACTGGGTTTTCGAGTCATTTCACAATTTTAGTGTGGAGTCAACCCTGTGTATAGTAACTGAGGGTTTGTTGCATGCATGGGTTCTTGCAATCATAATTTATAATGTATCAAAAAGCTGGTCAACTCTCTTTCGTGGCAAGTATTTTGTATTTAACTAATGTTTAAAATGGCAGGCAAAAATTTAGGCTGAATTTTAATTTGCCAGCCATAATTAAGAAGATGATAACTATGACGTCATCTCAAAAAGTCAGCCGTTTTATTATTATCGCATCTTCATTTTCAGGACCAACTATCAGGCTGCGGGGGGCATTAAGATCAAATGGTACAGGTCGTGTGGAAGTATTCCATAACGGAAAATGGGGAACAATCTGTGACGATAACTGGGATATTAAAGATGCTGAAGTTGTGTGTCGTCAACTTGCTTATAAAAAAGCTAAAGAAGCCTTGCAAGGAAAGTATGTTCCCTCTGGCACTGGACCGATATGGTTAGACGACGTTCATTGCACTGGGAATGAACAAGAACTAACTAATTGTCCGTCTAAGAACTGGGGAAGCCATAATTGTCAACATTCTGATGATGCTGGGGTAAATTGTTCTCAAAAAGGTGAATTTGATAATCCAACATTCCTTGGAACGAAATCATTGCAATTAGCTTTTTTCTGCTCGCTTGTCTTGGTCAAGAGCTAGTTCAATGAGGAAACACTGAATGTTTAATTGTTTACGTACTGCAGTTTAATGAACACGTTAATAAAGGCATGTCAAAGTCCGCAAAAGCATTTTGATTGAATCCTACTCAATAATTCTAAAGCAGAGAAAATCGTAATTCTTAAGTTAGCCCGGAATTACTAAATAATTATTTTGCTCTTTGGAATGATATTTAGGTCCTAAATTTACTAAGTGTTGGTTTAGTGAGCTGTTGGTAATAACCCTCAGGATCATTGCCATAATTTTAGATCAAACAGTGAGGCTGCAAGAGCCATTAAGTTCCATGGGTATTGGTCGTGTGGAGGTATTTCATAAGGGAACATGGGGAACAATCTGTGACGACAAATGGGATATCAAGGATGCTCAAGTTGTGCGTCATCAACTTGGTTACCCTTGCGGTCCTTCAGGGAAATCTTGTCCCCTCTGGTTCAGGGCAGATATGGTTAGACGATGTTCGTTGTTCTGGGAAAGAGCAAAATCTGGCCAGTTGTTCCCATGGAGGCTGGGGACTCCACAACTGTCATCATTCTGAAGATGCTGGAGTAAAATGTGCTCCAGAAGGTATGTAATATGTAATCCATCATGATATCCAAAAAATTTATAGCAAATCAGTTTTCTTCACGTTTTCACGTGGAAAACAAAATGAAATCACATGCTTTACCTCGCTCTTATTGTTCTTGCTTAGGCTCGCCCCATGATGCTTAGCATCTTCCTAGGTCTAGTTACAATGACAAGGCAAACCGAATAGTGGAGAATTAATGGCTTGTTTTATAAAGCATGATAACTTACGAGAAACTCATGATAAAAAAGTGGAATTGCTTTTAATAGAAATGTAATTTTTTGTCTAGGAGGTGAATTTGCACTAGTAACTGATAAGATTGATGTAATAGTAAAAGTCTGGCCGACTTTGGACTGCCATAAATTTAGGGCTGTTTTCCATGGTGGCGTTTTTTGTTCGTACGTACACGCACGTAAAATTAAAAATTTAAGGCTGCTTTTCATGCACTTACGCGTTTTTTATACGCACGTATTCGTACGGAAAATTTTATATGCTTTTAAATTTTTATTATTTAACATCTAGGTCAACTAATGCGTACTAAAATATATATAGAAAACTAAGTTCATTCGATTTATTCACTTGACCTTGGTGTTAAATAGTAAAAATTTAGGAGCATTTAAAAATTTCCGTGCGTGTACCTGGGTATAAAAAACGCGTAACTGCATGGAAAGCAGCCGTAAGGCCTAAAAGAATAGTTAAATTTAATATTCTCATGATACACTGAACAAGTTTGTGCCGTTGTATCCGCTATAGTAAATACGAACTGAAAATCAATAAAATTTAATTTCAGAAAATGCTGGAGATTCGTTGATTGATAATAACGGGGCAAAATTCAGTACCAAAGATAGAGATAACGACATGTCAAGTGAATTTAACTGTGCTGTTCTCCACACTGGTGCATGGTGGTACAGTAACCATGACAACACATGTGGAAACTCCAATCTCAACGGTTTATTCCCCAGGGCAGGTATATCTTCAGGTGGAATGACATGGTACAACTGGAACAACAATCGACGATCTATGACAAAAAGTGAGATGAAACTCCGGCAGGCTGATTTGTAGAACAGCATTCCACGCAAGATTGTTGGTAATTTACAACACAGGCCTAGAAAACATTATTTCACTGAGTAATTGCAGTTAAATCCTGTAACAGAGGGTTGTAGAAATGATCATATTAAGGTTATTAATTGCTGCGGAGCGAGCGAGCCTGAAGCGAGCGAGCGTAGCAGTAGTCTAATTTGTGCAGAGAGGGGGTTTTGAGCTAAATTTTATTTAGCGCAAGGAATTGTGGTCGTGCGCGTTTTTTATGCGTAGAACACAAATTTTAAACTCGCTGAATGCTCATATCCATGTGCTTTTTTATTTCGATGGACAGGGTCTTCAAATTTTTGTTAAATTTTAAAGCTTCTGTTCTATTTTGACTATTCAAGGTAAGATATTTTCATCTTTCGTTCACATGTTACGTTTACAGTTACGTTTACAATTTTAACTTGTATATATTTATGAAACGCTAAAAGCATACAATCAATCACAGCTAGATTCATGCTGTTTATATACGAACTATATAAATTCTTCTAGAATATTAAGATGTACTATCCAATTTGCTAATTCGCTTTGCTTGAGCAGTTGAGCTGTCAGTGCTGTGAAGCAAAAGTCTTTTTTATCCATTGACATTTGCATTGTTTTGTTGATTTCCATATTTTGCATCAAATGATGTTTCAAGTATGCGGCTTGACGCTTGCGAGTCGTGTTTAATAACATCTGGAATAACATGACATAGTCGCAGATAAAATATGGAATTGATCGTCTAAATTGCCTGACTGAATCACTCAGATTCGTGCAATGTTTGACTTATTTTATATTAGGTTACTGTAAGCATAGGCATATGTTTTTATTCCTATTTTACAATGAGCTAAATGTTTTTGATATTTAGTGCTTTTACCGTGGTTTCTGATTACACGTCTTCTCGAGCGCGTTCAAAGTTCAAAGTATTAAGGAGAGAACGTTGTCTTGCGAGTTACAGCTCGTTGAAGTCAAAGTCTTTAGAACTTAGAAGCAGCTAGATTTAAAAATATTTTAACATACGAATCACAACAGGAATATTAAAGTGCCTATATCACTTGTGGGGTCTTTACGGATTTGAAAAGGCTTGAAAAATTAGTTTATAAGTTCTACAACCTTTTTTGATATAATTAAATAGTTTTGAAAATACGTCGGTTGGGGGGACTGGAACTCAGGAATGATTTGCAAACACGCCCGTCTTTTATAATGTAAACATGAAGAGTTTCACTGGCGATATAGTTTGCTCTTTTCAAGAAAAAAATGCGGGAACGGTGCGTTGTGTATGGCTGTAGCAACTGGGCGAGTTTTTCTCAAAATATTTTACGTTATTGGGAGATCGAAGTAAAATTACAATTGATTATATTATGTTTGAAAAGAACTCAGTCGGTTCCTGAGTCCCAGGCCCCCGAGCACGACGGAAATTTAGGCAAATCGTCATGTTTGGATGTAAATATTTCCGAAACTATTCAACTTTATCAAAAAGGGTTGTAGAACTTATAAACTAATTTTTCAAGCTATATTTAGCCTATTTAAATCCGTAAAGATCCCACTAGTGATATAGGCACTTTAACAATAATAGTAATATTTGGTAGAATTTTGCGCGCGTATTTATAGCGACATTTTCCCCGCAACAAAGTTGAAAGTATTGTACTTTTCAGTTTCCGCGCAGAAAATATTGTTTGGGCGCAAAATTCCGCCTAGCGAAAATACAGGCCCTGAGCAGTAGCATATGTTTAACAAAATAAAACATTTTTTTGGAACATGGATATTTGTTTTTGAAATATGCTATTTGTCTTTGTTGTAAGAGCCCATGTAAGTGTTTGGCCTCATGTGAAGAGTAACAAAACATCACTTTACCCTTGACAGCGGGAAAAACACTCCCGGGTCTATCCAACACCGGAGAAATTGCTATTCATGACACTGTAAAATGGCTATTTTCTGATGATTCGTTTTTGCCGAGTGCAATCTACAAATCTTTTGGGCAATTGAACATTTATAAATCTTTTTTCTTTATAGCAAATTTACTCGCGAAATCATAATACAGGGTGTATAAAAAAAAAGTAGACAATTTTGAAATGTTTAGAAAACTATGAATTTATCAAAATATCTCATAGATTTGTGCTAGTATGGGTACTTTGGCATCTTCAGGTCATTCTAACACTAAAAACAAACAGAAAAATTAACCTCGAAAAATGGAAGAGCGGTTTGTGGAAGCATCATTTTGAATTGCTTGTGCAAACATGAATGAGAGGTTTAAAATCCAATTTGAATTCAAGGGCTGAACGTTTGGGTATTTTTTTACAAAGAATCGAAATTTCAGAAATTTTGATGAAAATTAAGTCAGCCGCGCAACTGCGTAAAAGTGGGCTTTTTTTTTCTGCTACTCGCAGCTTGAGTAACTTTTTTCACAACACCATTGTTAGTTTAATCACCCGAGCAATCACTCATACATGAAATCGTTCGTGCATGAAAAAAGTTACTCAAGCTGCGAGTTAAACGGAAAAAAGCCCACGTTTACGCAGTTGCGCGGCTGACTTAATTTTCATCAAAATTTCTGAAATTTCGATTCTTTGTAAACAAATACCCAAACGGTCAGCCCTTGAATTCAAATTGGATTTTAAACCTTTCATTCATGTTTGCACAAGCCATTCAAAATGATGCTTCCACAAACCGCTCTTCCATTTTTCGAGGTTAATTTTTCTGTTTGTTTTTAGTGTTAGAATGACCTGAAGATGCCAAAGTACCCATACTAGCACAAATCTATGAGATTGATAAATTTATAGTTTTCTAAACATTTCAAAATTGTCTACTTTTTTTGATACACCCTGTATAAACCAGCCTATTTCAAAACAATTTCGAGATAAAAGTTAGAACTTGATATAGCATGTAATTACCTACATATTGACGTCATTGACAGTGTTCTCGCTAACAGGTGTTAATTCGTGTACAGCCCCAGCGAGTTAACGCTCAATAGAGGTTCACTTTACGTGTTTTAAACCTGCTATTACTATTAGTTAAAACGGATTTCGTTTACTAACATTTCATATAACAGTTCACTTGTAGCCTAAAATGCTTGCAGCAATCCCTACCTTGCAGGTAACCTAGTTATTAGACTAATAATGAATGTGTATGATACTATGATATACAATTGTAGGAATATTTCACGAGGCGAAAGATGGAATGTTTTTTCACTGAAATAGACATGGAAACATATAATACGACAGGTGTAGCCTTTCTTAATCATAACTATAAATTAAGAATTATGTTTCTTCTTCTTCTTTTGACTTATAATTTATCATATTGAACGCGGGGATGTTTATTTTAGAAAATCGCTATAGATTTGAATAAAGAGATAAAGACAAATTTATATCCGGATTATTTCTCAATGACAACGTCATTGTACAGTATATAATATTATTTTTAGTATAATCCTACAATAATTTAGCTAGACTCGCTTATTCAATAAACAATAAGAAAAACCTGCAAAAATAAAAACGTTTTTCAGAAATCTATCATTTTCTGCCAGGCGCTTCCTCACAAAATAAAACCACCCCAAGCACCACCGCGTGCTTGGCTTCTTTCAGCTGACCTCTATATAATAACTGAATGCAACGTTATATTATTTACAATGTTTTTTATTAAAGCGCCTGGGTACGAGGCTAGCTTTGGCCCTCCCAGAAAACGTTTTAGTATCAAAACAAATGTGTTTTCGTTGAAAAAATCATTAATTCAAACATTTCAAAACCTTGTTTCGGGTGCCCGGTTATTGGAAGCTTGCAAATGGTTGTATAGCTTTACATAGACACATACAAAAATAACAATTTCCTAGTCTCGTGTCTTCACTCGTACTTCCGCTTGGGGTTTCTACAGGCACTACAGGCGGTTCAGGGTTAGGCGGAATAAATTTCTACAGCTCAAAATCGTAATCGCATTGGTTGATTTTTATTTTAAAATATTCTTTAGAATCCATGACCAATATCGTTGTTTTTAAGGTATTTTGAGTTTTAAATTTAACCTTTTAATTTATTCCGCCGCTACACCCGTGACTAGTGACGTCACAACAAACCTTTAAAATCAGCTGGAGATTTCAGCTGTCCTACACTTTCCCTACCGAAGAAAACATTTATCATCATTTGGTGAATTGTGAAGCATCAAGTTTTTATCCCTGGCTTGTACGCAGGTATTTTCATAACGCTATACATGATTAGAGTAGACATTATATAATATGCATTAGCCCAACAACAACAACAACAAAATTATAGGCTATTTTCAATCTTAGCAAAAATTGGATTCTGTCTTAGACTGTGCATCACCAGATGTATATGGCAAAAGAGCTGTGGCTTTTGTAGCTTGTACTTTAATCATTTTACATCTATTTTCAGTTTTATGTCGAGTGTGATTATGAAAAACTAAATAGAACTGTTGCATTAAGCACAGACCCCGGGCATTAAGCAGACCGCTATAGTTTATAGGTAAAAAGGTAGTGGTTCTGTTGTCTGTCTTGGGAATTTTGTACGATCTGCTAAACTAAAAAATATGTTACTTTAAATTATACCTCTATCAACGAAATTACGAAATCAATCATTATCCGTTCAAATATTGTGATTCTGATAGTAAATTAAAGGCCTAGGTTAAATGTCGCATTTTGATCGCGTCGAATGCAATTCGAACATTAGAGACCTTTAGTTTGACGTTTACGGCAAACGCCAAACCGCTAACAAAGTTTGTGTTTTAACTCCACTCTCCTTAAGTGTGCGGCAATTTCGCTAAATTACAAACGTTCTACATAAAACTTGTGATGTTCAGCAGTAATGTAAGAAAGCAATAGGCTATTTCTGATGTATTTAGCAAAACAGTAAATTCAGCTTTGCCGTATGTGTTTCACGTTGGCCGTATAAAATTTAATGCTTGAAAGACTGCATACACCCTCAGCCGTTCAGGCATTGAATTTTATACGGCGAACGTGAAACGTATACGGCAAAGCTGAATTTGCTGCTTTT